TAATTAATTCTGGGATTTTTATTTTTTAATTGAAGCTTAAGTCTAAAATCTGTTTCATAAGCTGAATTCCAAAAAGTAGTTTCACAAAGGAAACACATTTACTTTTTCCATGTTGGGTCTCCTGCTATCATTATAACTCATCATTTGCTGGTTAAATACAGCAGAGCACTACTCAACTAAACTATTCCTTTTCCAAATGTGAAATTGGATTAAGTTTTCTGTTAGAGTTCAGAAGTTTTGAAAAACCTTTCATAATCTATTTTTAGATTATGTGTTTTATTAAATATAATGTGGGAGTTTTTAATGGTACACAGACTTCACTGTGCTAGTATTTGGAATACATTTTCTAGACAGCTATGTATAGCAGCAAATCCTTTCAAATTATGGCTCTTACTAAACAATACAGCTGTCAGATGCATTAGGTTTTAAATAGTTTTATCTGTTTCATGTAACTGAGCAGTAAATGGACATAAGTATGTAGGAAGTAGAAACCTGTTTTTCTGGTTGGGAATTGGATCAAAAAGTACAATTTTGATCAAGGTCGGTGATTCCTTAAAAGGAAGTACTTCCTTAACAAGATATCTCAAGATATCAGTCTGATGGTATGGCTTTTTTGTGTGTGAGAGACTTTCTGATTTAATCATGCATGCAGAATATTTTCTCTGTGGAAATTGTGATGACAATGAAGCAATAGTTGGACAGAATGCACGTATCAAAGGAGAGAGCAGACATACTTACAGACCTTATTTCATATTCATATACTGATAGCAGTGTACTGAAAAAATGCATTTCTGATTATTGTGCCATCAATCTTATGAGCTGTGTTCAATGAACTAGGTTTTTTTTTTTGCTATGGTATGTTTGCTGTGTGTTATTTGAACATTAGTCGTAGCTGAGATGGATTGTGTATTAGCCTTGAATTTCTTACTTGTGTAGATCAGATTTCAGCTAGACTTTTGGTTTTGGCTACTGAAACAATATATATCCAGGACAGTAATACAAATACAAAGCACCATTCAAATTTTCCTTTTCATCATATTTGGTAAGCTGAAGTTCACATCCTCTGAAATCAGCTTTATCTTTAGACCTAATTCTTGGCAACACTTTCATTGAAATAATGGGTTCTTGGTGCTAATGTGTTTCATACAAGCAAAAATTCTCAAATTAGTGCTGACTATGTACCATACTTGAACARCTTCATGTGTTGTTGTATTGCTCGGAATCCACAGTGGCACTTCTCATGTCTCCATGTATAATATGTGCACAGTTTTCTTTGGTTTTTTCCTTCTCATAAATTTACTGATGGATGTTTATATTTCAAGCAAATTCTTCCTCTCAACACAAATWTAAAAAAAAAAGTAATGAAAATAAAAAAGCCTACAGTATATTGGTAGTTATATATACAGAACATTTGCTAAGATTGCCTTTCCCCAATTTATTGATAAATTAGCTTGCTTCATTCTTGAAAATGAGAAACCAAAAWCCTGCAAAATAATTTCATTTGTTCAACCTATGTATCTTAATACTTATGAGCATCTTGATATGAACTACAGGTTGTCATTTATAACTTTTATAATGAAATACACATTGTGTGAGTTTGAGCTTTAATTTTCTGATGATTCTAAAGATGTAGGGAATGGTGCTTAGAGGGAATGTAGAAAACATTTGTCGGAATCAACATAGAACTGTGTTGTTCTTGCTCTTAAGATTTTGGACTCCATCTCCAAACCTGCTGTTGGAGCCACTACAGACCCATCTGACTTGATTTTTCTTAAGAGCAGAAGAGTCTAAAATAAATGTACCAGGATGGCAYATGGGAGAGGGGAACACTCAAGTGAAGAGGTGATGTGCAAGTCTCTGTGAAGGATGTACCATGAGAAAACTGCTGGGGAGTATAGAAAAGAAAGCAAACCTGAAGGAAAGACTGTGTAATGGGAAGACCATGAAAACAAACTCTTGAGTTAATTTTTTTGTTGGTATTGTTATTCTTTGTCTTACACTGCATTATGGCAGGCTGACCATTTATATTGATACTATTTTCAATTTGCACCATTATAAACCCAGCATGGATAATGAGCATTACTGCCTCCTTCATCTGAGCTGAAAAAATTAACAAAGCTCATATAAAATGTAACTGTTTGTGATAGAGCAACACCTTTCAAGAGGATGTCTGGTGTTTATTCACAAACACCAAGAGATGTGATCAGACAGTGATTCTCATTGAGTCTGTGGGATCTCTCCTTACCAGCTGAATGTGTGAGTTTTCATGGTAGGAACTGTATTGGCAAAGTAAGTTATGCAACTCAAGGGGGACTGATAAAATTAAGCAGCACAGTTGGGTTGTTTGAGCCTCTGACATGTATCTGTCAGAAACTGCTAAAATCAGGGTATGTGGGTATGCCCCAGGACTTCATAGTTTCTAAGTACTCAGAGACAGTCTTGTTCCTGCACTGTGTTCAATGTCAGAATATAAAAGACACAGTTTGTTTGCCTTTGCTTTGGAAAATACCTTRTAATTTTGCCCTACTTGTTTTTTCCCTTTTATGAGATGTTTTTCAGTCAGTTTTGAGTTCCTTTAATTCTGAGTTAATAAGTTAACAGTGTTAACCTTAGCTTGTTTCCTGATCATTCAAAGTTACTATTTAAAATAAGCCTTGGTTTGGTGGTTTCTTGTTCTTTCTAATCTTAGTTGAAAAGGAAAGCAGCCAGATTATATACCTTTCTCACTAAATTTTTTCAGTTGCTGATCAATACATTGTGGTATTAATACCAGCTGAGCTGCCAAACAACAAAACTTTTTGATAGAGTATGAGAGGAAACATTTAATTTTGGGTCAGCTAGCTACACTGATAAAGGATAAAATGATCAATTTTATGTACAGAATGTTCTTTTGAGGCATTGTGTGTCTGTTGCTTGCTTTTCCCATTTTATATCATTTATCCCTGTAAATGTGCTGAGGATCCTTTCTGTCCTAACGTCCTAATCTGGTAATATTGGCCAGTATCAAATACTGAGAAAAACTGTACCTCATCAGTTGGCATTAAGGATTATGGACCAGAACTCTTTGAACTTCATGAATCAAGGAATTTTTTTTTCCTACCTATTCAGTCCATGTCTCCTCAGTTTGACAACTAAGGTGCTATGGAAGATAGTGTTAAAAATCTTGYTTAAGTCAAAGCACTGACAACCATCAATTCTCACTGGTCCATGAAGCCATTTAACCCTTCTGCTTAAGGCAGGGCAGGGTTTGCCTTAGAAGTCTGTTTCCTGATCCCAGGCACATAATGTCCATCATGCCTGGAAATAACTTCCTTTTAGAGCTCATTCTACATTTTGGACAGCAAATGAAGTGAGACTCACTACCTTATAGTTCCCCAGGTCTTTAATTCTCTCCTGTCTCCCCCTTGCTTTTCAGCTGGAATTTGTTTGCTTGATTTTAAGTTGCTAGTTTCCTGTCATGAACAATTACCACATCTTTTCAAAGATTGTAGCCAGCCACCTTCCAGAGACATCAACTAACTTTTTCAGTACTTTGGATGCTTCCCATCTGGTCCTGCCTACTGTGTAGGTCCAGCTTACCTAGGTAATATTTTGACTTGATAGCTCCTGTCCCTCAAACTTTGCTACTAGATGCAGGAACATGGTAAACCTGATAGCTGCCCAAGATGGTAAAGACCGTGCCCAAAGTGATGAGTACCTGAACTTTTTCTGTACCTTTCATCACTAGGTATCTTACTGATTCAGCAGCCGAATTACTCTTTTCCCAGTGTGTCTTCTGCTCGTAGTAGAAGTATTTCTTGCCTTTCACATCCATATTCAATATCAGCTCCAAACAAGCTTTGGCCTTCCTCCTTCAGTCTCTGCTTGCCCAGACAGAGCATCTATATTCTCCTCCAGTTGCCTATCCCCACTTCCACTTTATATATGTTTCTGTTTCATTTGAGTTTTGCCACTGAGGAGTCCGGTGTACAGTCAGCTGGCCTTCTGCTCTGCCTGCTGATTTTCTTGCATGTTGGGAAGGCTTGTTTTGTGCTCAGARAAGAGAGTTCAGGGTGATGAGTCACTGTCATGGATTCCTTTGTAGCTTCTGAGGTCATTCTGCTTTCCATTCCCTGAGCAAGCCCCAGTTCTGTCTACTGCAGTGAGTCCAATGTCTTTAGTCTGCTTTTTTCCTTCCTTTCTTTTCTCAAGACTTACTATGATTTCACAATCACTGCATCCAACGCAGTTGGCTCTTATGCATGAGCAGTTCTTCCTTATTCATGAGTACCAGATCCTGCACAACCCCTCCCCTAGAAGCCTGTTCAGTGCCAGCATCAGAAATTGCTCCCAGTGCGTGTGAGAAATTCCCTGGATATTTCACACCTTACTACACTGCTGTTCTAGGAGGCGTTGTGTGATTCAAGTTCTCCATGAGAACAAAGGGCGCTGAATATTGGAATACCAGCCTAAGATGATGTTCCATTTACTTTGAAAATAAGTTTTCTTTAACTAGTTGCCTTGAATCACAAGAAGCTGCTGCAAAGATATACAGATGGTATTTTGATTTTATTTTGAAATGGAATACGTAGTTTTTGATTCATTTTGAATGGCTATGTAATGTGCAGTCAAAATACTAATTCAGCTGCTGTTGGCCTTGCAGCTGATGAGATAAAATAACCTGGTTTCTATAGCATGAATACTTTGAAATCCATAATATTTGTTCACAACTAATGAATTTGCATGTGATTCGAATAATTATACTTTTGTTGCTAAGATTTCTGGTTTCTAATTACCCTGACATAATGAATGTGCAACTACATTAAATACTGCTTCAGATTGCACTGTATGGCTCTTACATTTGGGCCATATAAATAATACTTGCACATATATATGTGCAAGAAATAATTTCTCATCTTTTTTTTTTTTATGTGACTACTAAAAGAAGATCTTTTTCATTCATACTTACCATATTTTGTTTCATTRTAATTGGTGACAGTGTGCTTCTCAATCTGTTTTAGTTGGAAGATGGGGAAGAAGAGCCGAGTAAAAACTCAGAAGTCAGGTACAGGAGCCACAGCGACGGTATCTCCAAAGGAAATGTTGAATCTAATTAATGAGTTATTGCAAAGTAAGTTTGGGTTTTATGCCTCTTTGGGAAAAATGTTGCTGTGTAAACCACTCAAAAACATCCTCTTGCTAAAGCCTGTGAGTTATATTTTTTCTGTAAGTGGCCAAGCCTGCTATTTCAGAGCGCTTAAGATAAATACTCTGGGATACATGCTAAGCTATTTCTGTTAATATATGCTATCACTGACTTATTTAAATGTCTGTTTATTGGACAGACTATATTTGTGGCAGCCTTTGTCTGTGTATCTGAATACAAGCATAAATACTGGGTCAGATTAGACTTTCAAACAACTAGATAACTTGACATTGAATCTTTGTCAGAAATGTTTTTATTGTAAACTTGGAGAATTACACTGTTTCCATTTATCACTTGACAAGTGCTTTGAACTGATACCAGAATAGAGAAATTAACTGTGAGAAGCAGTAATACAGCTCAGTTCAACTGCACATATATTTTTATTGCRTAGATAAATTTTTTGTTGTTGCTGTTTGGAAACTTCTTATAGTGCTTAGATCTTGTGTATTGACCAAGGATTTTCACTTGTTGGGGAACTTGAAACTCATCCATTATTTCTACTAAATATGAAAAGCAGAGCATAATTTCATGCGATAATGCTAAAATACTAGTGACTCTACTGTCATTAGGAATTCTGCTGAGATACAGTTATATTTTGAAGCATAAGTCCAGATATTCATAACCTGGACACATCTAAATTTTGCCTTAGAAAAACTAAAATTTTTCTTAGCGTTGCTCACAAAGAGGAGACAAGGATTTGGCAAAGCAGTTTGATGCTTATGCTGCAATTGGCCTCTGCTTTGCTACCAAAAATAAAACGTAAATCTAATTTGCTAAGCAAAGACAAGTATCAGCTGTTCTTTTTGTCAAGCTTCCATATTTTATTCAATGCTAAGATTTTTCAAATCAGTTGAGCAAGGTAATCTTCAGCTGTCCGCTTGGATTTACATGGCTTAGATCAAGAAATCCACACACTGACATTTAGAATATTGGCAGAGACACTGTGGATGAAATCTAAAGCTAAAACATGGCTTTGTGTTCCTTTGCTTGTCCCTTCAGCACTTGTGCATCTATGAAAACAGTATTGACTAGGCAGGTCAAATGTATGTATCAGCTAATTTCTCAATTAATTAAGGTATGCTCTGTGCTATTGTTATCTGCTTTCATTACAGCAAGAGTGATGGCAAGCAGGCTAATGCAAACAGAGTGCTTTGCTTGAATAATTRAAAACAGACCCTTTTTTTGTTGTTAGTCTTATCTGAGATACTGTCTACTTAATGGCCTGGTTGTTTACCTTTTTTCCTTCCTAGCTTTTTAGACATTTGCTATTTCTTATATCTGAAAGAATATAAAGAATAAAATAACTTATATTGTGAAAATGTCGAAAGTCTAAATTGATTACGTGTCATATAATGGGATGTGGCAATTGTTTTGTTTGCCATGTAAACATATTTGAAGGACAAATAGTACTGGGCTTCAGTTAAGCTACCGTAAAATCATAGTTCTGAGGTTAATATATATATATATGTATAATGTACTTTATTAAAGAAAACATTTTTTTTCCAGAATGCAGCAGTCCTCCACCAGGTCCTGGTAAGGAGTGGGAAGAGTATGTACAGATCCGCTCACTTGTTGAGAAAATTCGCAAAAAGCAAAAAGGTAAATGTGAAACTCTTGCAAGTGTTTCTGAATTGTTCAGGTGGGCTTAGGCACTGGCATTTACCATTTTCATACTAAGAATTCTGATTTATTATCATTGACTGATGATCCTGTGAGGATTCTGTCTGCTAAGTAGAAAATGGAGGTTGARGTTGTCTTCTCATCACAATCTGAAGGACTAGAAGTAAAAATCCTTTGAGAATAATAGGCCTTGGTTCCTGATTGTGTGGTCTGCTGCTCTGCCTCTATAAATCTGAACATTCTAAATTTAAATTTGTGGCTKTTTTACATCAGGACTTAACTGAATGTTGAAACAATTTCAGCAATACAATATCAGGACATTAASTGATGGCAGAAATATAGAAATGCACAGAATAAATACATCAGCTAATAAATATATCTGCTCTAAATGAAGCGCATAAACAAAATAAAGAGATGTTTATTATATCACAGTTAATGAGGAATTTTATTGCCAATTTTCCAAAGTTTAAGGTATGCTTGTTTTTCATACTGGACCAGTTTTCTTCTATTGTGGTCTGTAGCATCTTGCTGTTGATGATACTTTTTAGTATTTGTTTCRTTGATATTTGGAGGCATGCTCAAAAAAATGCTTTTCATCTAATTTTACATTGCCCTTTTTTATGACTGATGTATTTTAAGGACTGTGAAATATCTTTTTAATGTTGGAATGAATGGATTTGTACTCAGCATACCTGAAAAAGTCCTAAACAATTCTTTCTTCTCTGGTATTTATTCAGTAACAGCAAGAACGCCAGACTACAAATACATGGAGCTTGACTAGTTTATGACATTGCTTGATAAACCAAATACTTAAGAGGCTTGAAATTTCCCTTTCACATCTGTTTTTAATATATTTTGACTGATGCATAAAAATCTTACTTCATGAAAAGACTTAAACCTCTGAACATCAGTTTTTGGCAGAGGGAGTATGGAATAATAAATGGTGCTGTTCGAGTGACTGCATTCTGTACTGAGTTAAACATGGTTAATTTTTTAACTGCGCCATGAGTTCTATAAACTTATGGTACATGTCCAGGTCTTTGTGATGTAATATATGTGTTAAGGTAAGCCATAAAGAGGTTAATAAGAGCAGAGTTAGCATTGGGATTGGTCTCTTCACTGGAGGGGGATATTTTAAATCCCCAAATGTACTTCCCTAAAATAATTTTTATCTCAAAATGTATTTTATTCCTTGTGCTTATAACTAAAATATCCTTGGATATAAAGCATCTTGCTGATGACAATTTGTCACTCATAAAATAGCCTGAACATTTCAGGGGCCTTTGGACACTTATGATGTGATCTGACACTAGAGTTTAGGTTGAAGAGAACACACAGAGGCAAAGAGGTACCAAAGAAGATGGCTGARTACAGCCAGGAACTATTACAGAAAGGTAAAAAAATCAATTCACAGTAAGGAGAAAGCTGAGGAAATGAATGAGGCTTGTGATTTCACATGGTGGACCACATGCCTGTTGGAGAACCAAAGTGTAAAAATTTGTATTGAGCCCTGTGATGTCAGGAGGATGATCCTTACATATTTTAGATCTATCCTTAGATATTTTAGTAAATCCATATGCTACAGGAAAAGGCTAACTGCCTTCTATGTGAAAGAAGGAGCTCAAGATCTGCTTATCATCAGCTGCAGTGCTGAATTAATGAAATTACAGCTTGCCTCTCAAATTCCTCCTTGTCTATATCAACATGTGGTGATTGCATTTATCATTGATATTAAGATTGGAAATATTTTGGCTCTTATTTAAAGGGAAAGAAGAGGAGAGTTTCATATTTCATTACTGCTCAGTTTGGGCAGTTGCATTTTTAAGATGACTGTTAAGCCAATTTGGCACAATATTGAATTTGATGAAAATTGGGTATGACATTTGTATAGTATTGAATAACACTTAACAGAGACCAGTTCTGACTCAGCTACTTCAAAGTAGCACTGCTGTGAGATAGAAGAGAGCTTTTTACATGGGCTTTCATGTGAACTTCTTTATCTTTCTGGATCCTCTTATTTCTGCATTTGTTTTCCAATAAATTGTGTATATAGGTTTGTCTGTTGTCTTTGATGGAAAAAGAGATGACTATTTTCCTGAACTGATAAAGTGGGCAACTGAAAATGGAGCATCCACAGAGGGTTTTGAAATAGCTAACTTTGAAGAGGAGGGATTTGGTTTGAAAGCAACAAGAGAGATAAAGGTAAGCATGTGAACATTTGACTTAGATTGGAAAATCGTGTTTGGAATGTATCTGCAGAGCTCTGAAATGCTCAGCCTTTTCCCCCTTTTAACTGCCTATGGAACTGCTGTTCTGAAACATTCTCAACTATGTACTTGAGAATAACATTATTGATAAAATTGAGTATTATTTTTGATGATTACTGATAGTACCATGAATTTTTAATCARTCTTTTTCCTCTGGGTTGCCTATACTCTTTACCAAATCACTAGACTACTTTACCCCATTGATGTATCCCTTTCTTCCATGTTTTCAACTATTTAGTCTCTTCTTTCATGTCCCTTTCAAAGAACTGGTCTTTTTCCCCCAAAAATACATGTTTGCAATACCAGTTTTCATTCCAGTGAAAATGAAAAAATCCCAAAGTTAAGTTATGATAATTGTAAAAGACTTTTAAAATAATCAGATAAGAAACATGGACACATACACAGTAAGCTAACTGTTAAAAGGTAAGCATTTAAGATTGTGTCTTTCCATTCCCATTTTGTAGGTGGGAAACAGCTTTGAAGACCCATCAGCTGTTGTAGAAAGGCTGTTAGAAAATAAGCATAGTATAATCATTTTAGAGCTCCATTAGCACACCGTTAAGTACTTTGATAGAAATCCTGAGCAGCTCTTTTAGAATAAAAACAGCCAAATGAAAAAACTGCTATGAGAAAATGTGATCATGTAATTATTAGCAATATAGTGTGTCTGGTAGCTTTAAAGTTGTGTTGTACATGTTAGCAGTTCCAAAATGGAAGTGCTTTTATTTTGTATCTCGGTGTCTGTGTTTAAAGCTTTGTGTAATGCAGATTAGAACATTTGGTTACCACAATATGAAACACAGGCTGTTTGTTGAATTTGTAGTGGAAGAGAAGGAAGAATTTTGATTCAGAATAATTTTGATTAAAAAAAAAAGTAAACAACTTGTAATTTAAAGTTGGTGTGTGTTTGAGATGCTTGGCATATCACATAAATGACCCTTTATGCATTTCTTTCCTTTCTGTAGGCTGAAGAATTGTTTCTGTGGGTTCCTAGAAAACTGTTGATGACAGTTGAGTCAGCTAAAAATTCAGTCTTAGGTAAGACCTTTAAGGAAGTTCTTAAGCAAGAAATTAATATTTATGGAATCATTCAGCGGGAGACTTTCTTTTTTTAGCTGATATTCTTTATTACAGGGCTCGCTTATCATGCCAACCATTAGGTTTGTAATATTTAGAAACTTGAAGTGTCAGTGGAAAGAATTTAATTTCTCGGTTAGTTTCTGGCTGAGTGCACTGGATATCTTTCACAAGTGTATGTTATTTTGAACACATATCATGTAGCTTGTATAATACTTGGAGATAAAATGTTCTGACGTATTGAGAATATTGTTCTAGTTTTGTCATGCAGTTGTACATGAGGCATTTGCTGTGTCAAAAACCTTGCAGTATAATACAGTGTAGGCTAAATATTTTTTAAAAACTGAAAGCTTTTTTTTTGTTAAATGCTAATGTATTATTAAATCATGTTAATTTAAAGTAAATCTAGAGTGATATCTTCCATGGCAAATTAATTTAGTTCCTTGCCTTTCTTAATTAATTTAGGATCTCTGTATTCTCAAGACCGAATTCTTCAAGCCATGGGCAATATAACATTGGCATTCCATCTCCTTTGTGAGAGAGCCAACCCCAACTCTTTCTGGCTGCCCTACATCCAGACTCTCCCCAGTGAATATGATACTCCTCTCTATTTTGAAGAAGATGAAGTACAGTATCTTCAGTCAACTCAGGCCATACATGATGTTTTTAGCCAATATAAAAATACAGCTCGGCAGTATGCCTATTTCTACAAAGTTATTCAGGTAAGARCCTTAAATATAGTCTACAAATGTTGTTCTCATGATTCTTAATGTGGAAGGTGTGAAAACGGTGATGCTGAATAATAGCATAAGTATATTGCCCTTAAAAATCTGAATCATTAAAGCAATTTCCTGCTGTTTTTTTGAACTGCAGTTGAAATTTTGCACTTCACTAGGCTTATGGATGTATAAGAATGTATTGAGTTGGTGGAGATGTGATTACTGCCCATTGTTTGAAATTGGGTGAAACTTCATCTGAAATGCTGTACAGTTTTGGGCCCACCAGTGCAAAAGATATGTTGGCAAACTGGAAACATGTTGACAAAGTGGAATAACATCAGAGGAAGGCTATTAAGATGTAATTTGCTTCAGCCAATTATCCATATGGGACACTGAGGGAGCTGCATTTGTTTTTTCTGGGCAAAAAGAGATAAGGGGTGATTCAGTCATTGCTTTCATCTTGCTACTGTTAGCCAGTCTCCAGAAGTTTGCTTGATAGAAATTTTGCTACATGACCTGCAGAGATCTACAATCTATGCCTATGTGATTCTTTGAAAAATGGGCAGTTTGCACTTAACAAAGTAAAATTATAATTGTTAATTGACAGGATAAAACCATTGCATATGCTGTATTTCCAGTGAACATGGATTAACTGTTGTTTTCTGTTCTATTTAGCATAATTATTTTGATTGCTTTCAAATACAAAGATAAAYCCATCTGGTTAGCAGTTAGAGTATGGAAAGGCTTGAGATGGGTGAAYTTTTCATTGTGTTCTGAAGTAATCATTTAAACTGAGTTTCTAACAGAGCTCTGTTATTCTGACTGAGATCTAGATGTAATATTGTAAGTGAATATTGATGTATTGTTCTCAAGGTAGTGCTCAATATCTAAACCCCCAAAGCATTTTGTGGCACAATCTGTGTAAAAAATGTATGGTTCTGTGTACTGAATCTCCCCAAATGTTTGATCTAGAGACATTTTGTTTGGCTGTGGGAGAGATCAAAAGACACAAGGCAATTCTGTTCTCCTTTAGTGTTACCATAGCTCCAAAGCTTTTCTATTAACTGTTTTAATTCAACAAAAATTACATTATTTTGTGCAGTTGTTTGGTATTTCAAGCACTGAATGTTTTAAACACAGTGTCAGTTTGCAGAGTATAAGCAGCAGAGGGAAAATTGAGGTAATTGAAAGTGATGGATGAAAGCCAAATCAGATGCACAAGGAATAAGCCAGAAATAATGGCTTTGATATCAGAAGGAAACAGAATTTTTCCTTCCAGGTGTCACAATTCAGAACGATGGTTCAGCCAACTCTTTTTTTCTGGCTGTGTGCTATCCTAGGCTGCCAGTCTACCCTCGCCCTTCCAGCCTTTAACTTTGCTTCTCAAATTATACTGCCTGAGCAAACAGAGCTTCTCAATTTTGTGTCTTTAGAACATCTTTTTAGCCCTAAAAAGRTCCACTGTTTTTAATGAGTTATTAGCAGAATATTGTAAAACATTACCCAATTCTTCTAGCTGCTGTTCCTGCTCTTGCAGGACTTAATCAGAACTGAATCATCTGAACTATCACTATAACCAGTTCCATCATTTTCACTGACTAATCCTGCAGTAGTAKTATTATATGAGAGGTTATCGATATTAATTAAAAACACCTCTGAAATGCAGAATGGTCAGAAAACTAGATAAATTTTTTTTGGTCTCCTGACAAATGCTTTTATTGCTTGTCTTGTGTTCTTGTTATATATCTTGTTCTATAGCTGTTGTCTCACATTGTTGAATGTGACCATGAAGATAGATCAGGTAGTATTTATCTGCTTTATTTACTTACCTTTGTAGAATGAGAGGTAATAAATATTAGTTAAATTTTAGGCAGGTTCTGGTTATTTGGTGCCTTACTTCACTGCATGTAATGACAGTTTCAGCTGAATGTTTTTTTACTACTGTTCAGTAAATGTCACATTAAAAAGTTAAATAAATTCAGTTGGCTCCAGGAATGCCAAGTGTATGTAGTGGGAACCTATTCTTAATGATTTTGATGAAAACTTATCAAAAATTTAAAACTTTTTCATTTCTGTTTCTGCTCTCAAAAATAAGACCTTGTGATTTATGAAATGGTGGAGGGAAAAAGTTCATAAAGAAAAAATAGAAGCTTCTTTCTTCCCTAAACAAAGCACCATTTTCCTTTATTCATAAAAGCTGAAGTTAATTTTARTATCAGCTTACATGCACTCACAATTTGTGAACAAAATACTATTGCTATGGGTAATTCATGAGCAGATGGAAAAGTGAAGAAATGGTGAAAGAAAAATTTGTCATACAAATGAAAAAAGCAAAGCAAACCCACTTACCTATTAAAGGCAGAGTACTCTGCAAGCATGATGAAATGAGTTAGATTTTTGTATACCATCCTTTCATTCAGTACTAATACTGCTTTAGTAAAAGTGTTTTAATGAAAGCTGTCCTGTGTGACCAGGATTTTGATATTGCTTTCTGTCTSCAGGCTAATATATTTTTAAGTACAAATACATTTTAAGTATATTTTTTAAGTATAAATACATTTTTGTAATACAATAATCTTAAAACTATGGTTACTTTGTTGATAGTTGTTCTATTGCAAGAAGTAATGCTAGCAGCATCTTGAAAAAAGATTTTGTTATTTGAAGCTACGGAAAAAGGAACTATTTTGTGCAGGCAAAATATTTTAATTGCACCATTTTTAGTCTACAAAATATTTCTAATGGCTGGGGGGAATAAAAGGGCTAAGAAGTAATTTATCCAAATGCTTCTTTTTCTTTCCAAAAGGTATTGCTAGACTGTTTTTAAAATAATTTGGCTTCTGATAGGTTGCAATTTTAAACATGTTTTGAGAAGTGCTGCTCTGTTTTTTCCTTAGCTTCTCCATAAGGGTGACTGCTGCAGTTTTAACTCTTGCTCCAAGTGCTTAGTCTGGCTATACATGAAGAATGGGCAGATTTATGAATTTCACAGCTGTTGCAAGCTAAGCTGTAGTCGGGTTTGATAAGCAGAAACAGGTGGGATGCTGAGCAGACAAAAATAAACCCTTGAGTGTCTTAGCCATGCTCTATAAACTACACTGACACCTCTCTAAACATATGTAATTTGATAACTAAAAAATAGTTAAAAGTTCTTACAGATGTACTTTAGGGGGTGCATTTGGCCTCTGCATTGGTATCAAAGTACAGGGACTGGTCAAAAGACTGTTTTCATTGCTGCAGACTTGSAGTTTGCAAAATTTTTTTATATAGTTTGTTCCAAAGAGAAATTCTGTAAGCTTTCTCTGCGCAGGGGAAGAGAAAAGAAGGTATGCCTGTGATTTCCTTAACATTTATGGGCATTGCATGCCTGCTGAAGGGTGAACAAAGTCCGAATATTTATGGCTTAATGTTAAAAATTTTTTGTGCGCTGAAATGTGGCATAATAGACACAAGAGGGAGCCATRTAGTTTACAGACGTTCACAAAGAAAATACAGCCAAGTTTGAAACTTTTTTAAAAGAATATGCAGTGGTCTTTGTGTTTGATTTTCAGGTGCATCTCTATGCCTGTTTGTAGTCAGCTGCAGAGAAGTTTTTGTGAATCAAAACAAGACATGAAGACAAGGAGAGCATTTAGAGAAGGTGGAAGTGCCCAAACTATTTACATTTTGAACACAATGGGTTTGAAGCAATGTTGTATATTTTCCCCAGCTATAGTAAAGGCTGTTACAACCTGCCTAAATAAAAGACAATCTTATGATAATTTTAGTTGACTCTTAAAATCTTTGGAGTGGTAAGTCTGAAACCTGCAGAGCCCATTAGCTAGCCATAGCTTTTGCCATGGCTGTATGCATTTCAGTGGCACTCTATGACAAAATAGTGTCTGTATGTAGCTGCCTCTGATGTGCTGGAAAAAATCACCAGATTTGCAGGATGGCAGTTTGGCATTGATTTACACAATTTACAATGTTTTCAGCCTGTAGCCTTTGGACCACTGAGAGACTTTTTTTTTTTTTTTTTTTTTTTTTTTTTTCTGAAGGACACCAGCAAGCTCTCTGTAAAGGAAAAAGCAGTTGATCAAACTCTGAACCTAAACCAATAAGGGTGACATTGTAGTGGACTTCTGCAATTAGGCTGCCTGATTAGGAGGAAGAAAGAAGTGGATGAGGCCTTCTGCAGACAGCTAAAAATAGCCTTACTTTTACAGGGCCTGGTCCTCATGGGGACTTCACCCTGGTTATCTGTTAAAGGGAAAACACAGCAGGGCATAAGCAATCCAGGAGGTTTGTGGAGAGCTTCCTCACCAAGCTATAGAGGAGCCAATGGGGAGAGGTGCCTTGCATTCATGCACCTCATACTTACAAAAGGGGAAGGGTTTGTTGGGGATGTGAAGGCTGAAGACAGCCAGGTGGATTTCAGGATCCTGAGAGGAGAAAGCAGAGCAAAAAGCAAGCTCACAATGCTGGATTTCAGGAGAGCAATATTGGCTGCTGTGTGGATCTGCTTGGAAGAGTCCTGTGGGATAAGGCTTTGGACAGAAGGCACCCAAGAAGGAAAATGTGGTTAGTATGGATAGATTACCTCCTTTAAGTTCAGGAGCAGTCCATTCCAAAGAGCAGGAAGTCAAGCARAAGTGCCAGGAGGCTTGCATGAATCAACAAGGAGGTGCTGGCAAAAACTCACACCCTGAAAGGAAGCATAGAGGGGTGAAAGCAGGGAGAGGTAACCTGGAAGGAATATGGAGACATTGTCCAGTCATCCAGGGATGTGGTTAGGAAAGCTAAAGCCCACCAGCAATTGCATCTCGCAAGGGATCAAAGGCAACCAGAAGAGTTTCTATATTTACATAGGTGACAAAAGAAAGACTAGGGAAAATGTGTGCCTGCTGCTGGATGGAGCAGGGGACCTGGTGACACAGAACATGGAAGAATATGAGGTACCAGATGCCTTCCTTGTCTCAGTCTTTACTAATAAGACTGGCCTTCAGGAGTCCTAGGTACCAGGGTGC